TATGGGATTAAAGGCGTGTGCCACCACCGCCACACTCTTACTATGGCTCTAATAGCTCTGACTCCCAGACAACTTTATTTATTAACATACAATCAAAATAATAATTCAGTACAATTAGATTACCACCACATGTATCCTTGAACACATGGATTTCTGCCTCTGGAATGCTAGGATTAAAGGTGTGTGCTACCACTGCCTATCCTTTATGGTTAATATTGTGGCTGTTCTGTCTATGACCCCAGATAAGTTTATTTAGCATGCACAATATTTGGGGGAATACAATACCACACCTTCCATTCATCAAGGCTGAGTAAGGCATCCCATCTTAGGTAATGGGCCCCAGAAAGCCAGCTCATGCACCAGGGATAGATCCTGATCACACTGCCAGGGGCCCCTCAAACAGACCATGCTATACAACTGTTTCTCATATGCAGAAGGCCTAGTTCAGTTCTATGCAGGTTCCACAGCTGTTGGTCTAACGTTTGTGAGTGCCTATGAGCTTCGTTCAGTTGTCTCTGTAGATTTCCCAGTCATGTTCTTAATCCTCCCTCCCCCTTGCTCATATAGACTCTCTTCCCTCTTTTCAGCTAGACTCCTGGAGCTTGACCTGGTGCTTAGCTGTGGATCTCTGTATCTCTGTATCTGCTTCCATCAGTTACTGGATGAAAGGTAGGCCAGTACAGGCACCCTCTCCATTATTGCTAGTAGTCTAATCTGGGTTGCCTTTTTGGATTTCTGGGAATTTTCCTAGCACCAGCGTTTCCCCTAACCCTATAATGTCTCCCTCTATCAAGATATCTCTTTTATTGCTCTCCCACAGCTCGACCATCCCCTTCTCTCATGTTCTCATCCCTCATCTCCTCCCTTCTATTTTCCCTCCTTATCCCCAGTTTACTCATGGAGATCTCATCTGTTTTTCCATTCCCAGGGTGATCCATTCATCCCACTTAGGGTCCACCTTGTTTCCTAGCTTCTCTGGAGCTGTGGATTGTAGTCTGATTATCTTTTGCTTTACATCTAGTATCTACTTATGAGTGAGTACATATTAAAAGCGCCCTGGGTACCTGCCAGTACTCCTGGCAATCCTGAGAAAAATTTCAAAACCCTCAAGGCCATAGCACATTCCTAGAATAGACGAGAAGGAGCAGAGCCAATACCATAGTAACACAAGGTTTCAAGGTCTTAGGACCAGAGGGAGGGGATGCAGTGGCCAATGCAACAATCTCTGAGACATAGCTTGTTATCAGCAGACTTGGTAAGCAAAGAATTGGCAGGCTTTTCTTAGGGTGTTTTGTGTTAGTAACCTTGGTAGACACCTGCAACTCTGATCTCTGTGCATAACTGTAAAGTTTTAAACTTATGATCTATATACAAAGGCCTTTAGTCTAGTGTCTACTGTCTCATGGGAAAATAGATCTTGCTATGAAGCAGATCTTAGTATATTTTCTATATATTAAAATTATACAGCTAAATGAAAAGTCATCTTCTTGATTACCCACAGTAATATGTGCCCACCCATAAGACTGAGATGTAATCATGAGATTACATATACATGAAGATGTATGGTAATGGGAAGATATCATAGTTGTTATTGCACAAGAAGTTTACAACAAGAAACAGCCAGTTCAATCAAAAGGCAGTAATTCCAAAATACCTTGTGTGATGGTTTCCTCCAACAGAACCCTTGGTTCTGATTGGTTGACCTTCTGATCAGTAGTTGTCACCTGTTGTATATTCCCATAACCTTTTGCTATGAGCAGCTCTCAATAAGAACACACTATGTTTTCTTTCTGAGTCTGGATTACCTCACTCAGGGTGTTATTTTCTAGTTCCATCCATTTGCCTGCAAATTTCATGATGTCACTGTTTTTTTTTAAAGCTGAGTAATACTCCATTGTGTATGTGTGTGTGTGTGTGTGTGTGTGTGTGTGTGTGTGTGTGTGTGTGTGTGTGTGTGTGTGTGTGTGTGTGTACCACATTTTTAAAATCCATTCTTTGGTTGAGGGGCATCTAGGTTATTTCCAGGTTATGGTTATTATGAATAATGCTGCTATGAACATAGTTGAGCAAGTGTCCTTGGGTATATGCCCAAGGGTGGTATCATTGGGTCTTGAAGTAGATTGATTCCCAATTTTCTGAGAAGTCTCCATACTGATTTCTAAAGTAGCTGTACAAGTTTGCATTCCCACCAACAGTGAAGTAGTGTTCTCCTTGCTCCACATCCTCTCCAACAAAAGCTGCCATCATCAGTGTTTTTTATCTTAGCCATTCTGACAGGTGTAAGATGGTATCTCAGAGTCATTTTGATTTGCATCTCCATGACAACTAAGAATGTTGAGCAATTCCTTAAATGTCTTTCAACCATTTGAGATTCCTTTGTTGACAATTCTCTGTTTAGCTCTGTAGTTCATTTTTTAATTGGGTTGTTTGATATTTTGAGGCCTACTTTCTTGAGTTCTTATATATTTTGGAGATCAGCC